AAGCACAGGTCTGTCAAGAGCTGTGGGACAGCAGCAGCTGCCTTGACAAACATGACAGAATTGCCTCCCCTGAGCCAGGCGCTGTTGCTTTAAAGCGTTTGTTACTGACCGTGCTTTTCCGCATATTGCGGAAGCAGAAAGTCCAACCTCTAAATTAGGAAGGGGTTCGCTTCTATCCTCATAGGGAAAAGCAGACGCTGACTGATTGAGTGCTACTCGGTTAAAAGGGCTAGTTCAGTACACATCACGGAAACACTGTAAGGACATTCTGTGGAGAAGTCCTCTCGGGAGCGTAGCATCTCCATGCTGACAGCAGAGGAGTAGTCAACATGTTTGCCACACGCTATGACTGAGCTCCACTGTGGACAGAGCCTCTTCCTAGATCACTGCGCTAGGCTAGAGACCGTGTACACCTGGGTACTAACCTTCACAGACTGTTTTTTCACAGACGTTAACTCACGTGCTGGCTTTATGCTAACTGTGCTCATGTAAACAAACCCGAGGCGAAGAGGAGTCCCAAATGTTTTCCCACTCCTAGTAGCACGGAAAGACCCATCTAACTAGCCAGGAATGATTCACTCCCCTGAAATGTCTGCCACTAACCTCTGCTTTGCAACTCATTCTGTGTGAGCAGTGCTGGTCTTTTTAGGGTTGGAGACTATCTCCACCGCTCTGTCCTAGTGCTGGATGGTGTGAAAGCTGCAGGCTGCCCTCTCTGTCTGCCTCCTCTATTTAGGTGCCTTAGGATCACTGCAAGATGATGGAAACGCACAACTGAGAAGGCAAAGCTACCAGGAAAGGGAGAGGCATTAAGGCCACGTGACACACAAGTACTGTATTCACCAAAACCTGCATGTACGCACACCCTTCTGGTTTGCACTTCGGACACGCGGAAAGCCAAAATGTGAAGTTTGCAAGTGTGTCTTTCACTCAGCCTTGGTGTATCGCAGGTGCCTTCCCATTGCCTTTATATCTGCAGAGAAATGACTGTAAAGCATATCCAAAAGGTCTCGTTTCAAGTACCCAGACCAAAAGTGTCTCCAGCCACTATTTGGAAAACAAATTTCTACCTTCTTGTATAAAGGTAGGAAAAAGCATGTATGTAGGTAGGCGATGCGGTTTAGTGCTGAGGAGACAAGTAGGCTAAAAAGTCTGTCTCCATCTACACCCAGGTGAGCTTCTGAAACTAACGGGGTCTGTCTCTTAAGAACACAGATTAAGCATGCCAAGCTTTCTGAGAGGGGATACGGCAATGCAGGCATCATTATTTCAGAGGCGGTTTTCT